CCATTCAGGTGTAGGAACTGTTCTGTACCTCTGAAGGGACTTTACTTAAGCAGAGTAATAAGTTAGAAATCAAAAGAAATTATAGCTGGAAGGGACCTGAAAGGCCACTGTACTTAATTTTGCCACATATTTTACATTGAATGTAACAAAAATTTATTGTTGAGCCCATTCTCTTCAGAGTTCCTTCACTGAACTTCCTTTATGTCTTGCATCCAGTGGGGCTAGCTTGTAGATTTTGGCCTCCTCCTAAATTTGCTTCTTCATCCGTATTACATTTTGCCCGGACTATGGCAGAAGCTTCTGGGTGGTTTCACGGCCCCTGGGCTCCGTTCCCCTGTTTATCTGCCTACTCAGTTTAAGTGTTCTTCTAACGTAAAAACATATGCTTAAAATAATGCTGCTAATGTCTTGGCCACACCGAGTTAGTGCGTACTAGCCTCCCAGCGTGTGCTCTGCACAGAGGCGTGTAGTCTGAACTGTGCTCGGCCAAGCCTCATGGGGCTCTTTGGCCCTGAGGAAGGGGAGCTTTTTGTGATCACTCCCTTTATCTAATCGGTCCTTCAGCAGCGGGGTGCCTTTTTCTAATCAGCGGAGGCACCCTTACTCAGCCAGTGGTAGCCCCAGGCCTCATCACCTGTGGGATACAAGCCATGCTCTCTGCCAGGCTTGCTTCGGCCAGCATCTCTATTTTCCTTTCTGTCTCTTCTCACACTTGGACCCCTGGCCTTTAGTCATCCCCACCTGCAGTATTTAATGTGCCCAGCAGGTGTCAGACTTGAGTGTCTTTGCACAGATATTCCCTGTGCAGTTAATGCACATTGTACTCCAACTCTGCATACTCTCATCTTTCTAGATTGTACTTCAGGGTTATCATGAAGCCGTCACTTAGATATAACTTTTTGCCTCCATAGGAACCTCTGTGCATAAAAGTTATGGTTCTTTATCTCATGTGATTGAAATTTTGAGTTTATACATCTCCCTCCTTAATGAAGGCTTTAAGGGCAGGAGTCGTTTCTAATCCTTAGCACAGAATAGATGCTTTGTTTTTTATTTAGATGCTTTTGGGTTTTTTTTTTTTTTGCGGTATGCGGACCTTTCACTGCTGTGGCCTCTCCCGCCGCGGAGCACAGGCTCCCGACGCACAGGCTCAGCGGCCATGGCTCACGGGCCCAGCCGCTCCGCGGCATGTGGGATCCTCCCGAACCGGGGCAGGATCCCGTGTCCCCTGCATCGGCAGGCGGACTCTCAACCACTGCGCCACCAGGGAAGCCCTTTAGATGCTTTTTAATGATGATAAAATATATGGTTTAAATCACTCATTTTACAATAATTTTGGTTTAGGTTGTGACAGAAATAAAGTTTACAGAAGTCGTGTTCCTGCGATTAGAAATAAAGATGTGACCTTCTAGTTGTGTAAAGCTCTTAAATGTTGTGTAAGTGTGTCCTGTGCGCTAAGGAACCTGGAGCTAAGTGGGGTAGTTGTGTGAGAGAGAGACTTAACTATGTTAACAAAGGTAAGCCTTCATTGTGTCCTGCCAACATTTGATAGCTGCTTTTGGGGCAAACTAAACCAATAAAATTTTAAACTGTTCCTCCCCATTAAATGGATTGAATAAATCGGCCACTTTGGTGCACCTGTGTCTTGCGAGTTGTCCACTTGGAGATGGAGGTTTAGAAACTGAGTTTCAGTCTTGTTTAAGTCTCTTCCCATCAGACTGGTCGTGATTTCCTACACACCATGTTACTTCCTGTCTACCTTATCTTGGTGTTGTTCATGCCTGGATTGTCTCCTGTGCCTGCTCAAACCTTGGTCCATTCTCATTTGTACTATGGAAGTTTGTCATGCTGGATACTGTCAGAACTAATTTTACTTAAGTTTGTGTTAAGCCATAAACCACACATTTTGTATATTTTCTGTTTTTTGTGTTTGTCTGTATTTTAATATTTCTCTTCAAGAAACATTATGGGAAGAGAAATAGCAAGATATAAAGAGCAAAAAAGTCATGATGATCTTTAAATTGTTAGAACATGTATCTGCAGTCATAATTATAATAAACTGTGGTATGTGTTAAAATAGGAAATATATGTCATGTCCCGTAAGAGCAGCAAACTCAGTGGTGTTAGTGGGGGGGAGTCATGGAAGTAATCACAAAGCAAGTGACTGTAAGTTAGGGTCCTGAAACATTAGTGTGTGTTCCCTGTGTCCAGTAGTGGTCTGGAGGGGTCAGGAAACCTGCCTTCAATTTGAGGGAACAGAGGGTTTGAGGTCCTCTCTCTTCTATTGCTCTAGTATACTGCATAGCAGCTAATAAAATACTGGGTTTATAGTTGACATTTAAATTGCTGATTGATCATCAAGATTGGCATGTATCATTGGAAATGAAAATAGGAAGAGTCTTAAGAATTTTAGGTTTTTCTTTTTTTTCCTATGTCTCAAAAGGTATGTAGTGTTTTACTGAGTGGTTGGGAATAAAGTTTGCAGTATGCAGTGTATTCAGTTTTAGTATCTGAATAGAATTAAACTGCTGCTGTTAACTGGAATAACACTTTGTTACTGACAAGTTTTAGAATGCATCTGTTCGTCAATTACCTGTTTGGGAAGATTGTAGTTAATGATTTTAAGAATTTAAACCTCCAATTGACTCAAGAAAAGCAAATAAGTCAAGATTGACAAATGTATAGGCTCTTCATCTTATTGTGTGTGTGTGTGTGTGTGTGTGTGTGTGTGTGTGTGTGTGTGTGTGTGTGTGTTTCTGTTATTTGTCAAGGTGTAAAGAACTCTATCACTCTTAAGACAGTAAACTTCACGGGATGTAATCTGACATGGCAGGGAGCAGATCACATGGCCAAGATCTTAAAGGTGATTTTTTTATGTTTGAACTTTCATGAAAACATATGTGATTGAAGCACATTAATATAGTGGTACAAATGGCAGTTAATTTTTGTCTTTTGATACCTGTGAGTGCAGCTTTCGTTTTGTTGAAAGAATATGACCAGTTTTCAGTTTGGGATTCTACCATTTAGTAAAGATAGTCCACTTAATTTTAGAAATAAGAGGTTTAATATATAATACATAATAATATTTTTATGTAGTTTTAGTTACTGAAAACATTGATTGTGATACTGTCAAAAAACTATGCCGTTATAGTCTTTAAGACTTAAATGAATCAAGTGTTTATTAGCTGCTGTAGTTTATAAACTAATAAAAATCACTACACCAGCAATTTGTAAATACCGTTTTTAAAATAATGCCTTACCAACTTTACAGTGGTTATAATGACTGTATTTAAGCCTAAAGTTATTTAATAATTTGACATGAAGACTTTTTAATAGTTTGATGTTGCAGATCAGGGATAGGTAAACTATGGCTGGTGGGCCAGATCCAGCCTGTCGCCCGGTAAAGAAAGTTTTTTTGGAACATAGTCGCACCCATTGTTTAGAAAGTTTTTTTGGAACATAGTCGCACCCATTGTTTACATGGTAGTTATGGCTACTTTCACCCTACGCCAGTGGGGTTGAGTAGTTGCAACAGAAACTGTGTAGCCCGCAAAGCTGGAAATGTTTAAATTTAGATTTTAAAAATTGAAAAATTCTTTGAGCCTATACAGGGCAAGTGCATTGACCCCTGAGGTTGAAAACAGTCAAGAACTTGGGTGCCGAAGTCAAATGGCCTAGGTTCAAATTCCCTTTCTCCCATTTCATAGCTAGTGACCATGGACAAATCACTTAACCTCTGTGCCTCATTATGAGGTTTAAATGAACTAATTTGTATAAATAGTGCCTGGCACTTAATAAGCACTGTGTAAGTGATTGCTGTTATTTCTGCTTGGAGCTTTTATAAACTATTGTTAATAGGAAAATGACACTAATGGTTTTCGTTTTAGAGTGTCAAAGGCACTTTGAGTCTTTTATTTTTTCAAGAATGTAATAAGACTTTTTTCATTTAAAGTCAGTGTTCCCTATTACCATAATTTATTTTATGAATATAAAGAATTGAATGTCTTTAAGACAGTACTTGTGGTTAAATGTCAAACCATAATTTTCCCAAGGCACATCAAACTGGCTCTGCATAGTCCAGGCCTCTAAAGTTTGTGTGCATACCCTAGGTAGCATGTGAGATCTATTTTGTAATACAGTTTTTAAAATAATGCCTTGGACTTCCCTGGCGGTCCAATAGTTAAGACTCTGCGCTCCCAATGTAGGGGGCCCGGGTTCGATCCCTGCTCAAGGAACTAGATCCCACATGCATGCCGTAACTAAGAGCCCGCATGCCACAACTAAAAGATCTGGCATGCCGCAAGTGAAGATCCGGCACAGCCAAATAAATATTTAAAAATAATAATAATAATAAAATAATGCCTTAGATTTAGGAAAAGAAAATATTAGAACCTATTTGCCTTTGTATCGTTTTTAAAATATCTGTGTGGTTTATAATGTACATACATTATATGTATAGAACTTCGTGTATATAATTTGTTAATAAATAAGATGCATATTAAAAAGTTTTCTTATGGGTTGCCCAGTCAGGTGTTTGGAGACCAGTGGAGGACAGAATGATGACATTTAGAGCCTCAGCAATGATAGAATTTAGAACCAATTCCCTGACTTAGAAGATCAGGAAAATAATTCATAGACTGTAATTGAGTTGTCCAACTTTACATAACTGTTCAGAAACAGGTCATCCGGTGACTGGAATCTAATCACTGACGGACTAGAATGTTGGTCACTGGACTCGTAAAGCAGAACTGACTGTTTAATTTCTCAGCTTGATTCTGCTGGCACATATGCTTGATACGTGTGTGTGTAAATCTCTGACATAATAAGCCATACTCAGTAGGCACACCCTGTTTCCTTATTGAAGCATCTTAATTTTGTCCCATTAAATCTTTGAAGTATCAGACTATCAGAAGGCACAAGGAAACCTGGGCTGAGAGTCTTCGTTCCAGGAGACCTGATCTTGACTGTATGGCTGGTTTGAGACGCATCACTCTGAACTGCAACATGCTCGTTTGTGACCTGGGTGCAAGTGCTTTTGCAGAATCTCTTAGTGAGGATTTGTGGCTTGTAAGTAAATTCTAAAATTGAAAATAATTGAATTTTTAATATGATACATGCTTAGCTTTTGGCTTGATACTGTTGTGATAGGAATTTTTTTAAAGCCTCATTTTTCTGATAGGTTTTATTTTGCTTGTAAACTTTCTCTATGAGTTACATATATTCATTGTAGAAAATGCAGAGTTACAAGAGAACAATTACCTATAATCTTAATACCCAGACATAATCACTGTTCATTTTGGTGTATATACTTTCAGTCTTTTTTTTTCTATGAATATATTTTGTATACTTAGGGATAACAAAAATAAAATTGTAGTATACTTGCTATTTCATATTCCTGCTTTTTTCATTTAATGATGTATCATGTAGTATAGCATCATATTGATGTCCCATAGTTTAATCAATTCTTTGCCATTAGATTTAGACAGTTTGTTTTTCCCTGTCAGAAACATTGTGAATACGTTGTATATACATCTCTGTGTCCATCGGGATTACTTCTGTAGAATAAGGAACTAGAAGTAGAATGACCTGCGTGTGACATATTTTTAAGACTTTTGATACACATGGCCAAATTACCATCCAGAAATGCTATGCCAATCTGTAGTACACCCCAACAGTGGATGTGTGAAGCCTGCCTCTCACAAACACTGGCTTGTAGCACTTGTAAAAAAATGTAAAACTACAAAAATGAGTACCTCTCCATTTTCTATGCAAGTAGGATTACTCCAAATTTTATAACATTTTTCAGTTAATTTAGTATGAGCATTTTAGCAAGTCAGTAAATTTGCATCTCCTGCATCATTTTTTGTGATTGTTCAGTATTCCATTATATGAATATGCCACAGTGCACATAGATTATCCATTCTTGTATATAAGCTTTGTCCAGTTTTTCAGTTACAAATTGTACTCTGATATATATCCCTACCTATATCTCTATTTGTTTTGGTTAAATTCCTAGAAAGAGAGTTGTTGGATCAAAAGGGTATAGACATTATTTAAAGGCTTTTCTTACAGAATCTTGGCTTAATCTGATAGGAAAATAACCACATTTTGTTTTATTTTGTATTCATTTGATTTCCTGGTGAGGTTTACTGGCTGTTTGTATTTGGCTAGTTGGTTAATTACACCGTGTGCCCATTCTTCTGTAGTGAGAGTTTGTAAGGGTTGTATCATATCCTGTCAGATCCATATGTCTGACTTGCTATTTCTGTATGTCATGGGGTGTTGAAAGACTCCAGTCACTTTAATGTGATGGTCCACACAACACTTAAAAAAAAGACTCATGATAGTTTCCTTTCATGTAATAGTTTTTAATACCTGTGCTTTGGTGATGATCCCTTTTGTTTAAATGAGTAGGTTGTTCAGCCCCAGAACTACTGGAATTCATGATCAGTTTTTCTGGGTTTTGTCTGACTTTTTATGGAGAGAGTTCTTGACCATCATACTTTCATGATAGATTTTTAGTATGTATTCTCTATTCACACATTGTTTGAATTTGTTATTAGTATGTATTCTCTATTCACACATTGTTTAAATTTGTTATTATTTGTATCCTCTTAGACTTGTCTTTTTTGCTCTAAAACTAACAGTTATTACATTTCTTCTATTTTGTTTTCCCCTTTTAACTAGTTTCAAGTGTAATTTGGAGCTGAAGATCATGATCAAAAGAATGCAGTGCATTTCTGAGCTCCACCAGGTTTTGCTTGTGAGGTTTACATGCCACTGCCGCCCTTGCTAATTATGAACTGAAATTCATTTTATGATGCTTTTTGCTCACAGGTTATATATACAGTTATTCTTCAGTTCTGTAATTGTAAAATATGTTGGATGATTTATTGGTACTAAAGCAAGGGTTATCATTGCACATCCAAGAAGAGGTTTTTAAATTGGATTATGCATTATGTGTGTGCGTATACCTTTCTTTTGTTTTTCCATACCCAAAATTACAAACCTGCCGTGACTTGTCTTGGGCAGGACTCTTCCACACGTGAGAAAATGAGAGTTGTCTATATGTTAAATCTGTAGAGTTAGCAAGTGACCTTTTGTCTTTCATCAAAAACACTTGACCTGCAGCAGTGTGGCCTCACCAGTGAAGGAGCAAAGGCTTTACTAAAGGCCCTTGAAACCAACAGAACTCTGCTCTTTCTGGATGTAAGAAAATATCCACTTGTTGGTATGTGGTCACTTTTTAAAAATTGATTAACACATAGGAAAACAAAAAGAATTTGTTCATGTATTGACAGTTTTTAAAACTTAATGTGTTTAACTTTCCTCATCGTATACAGTTGACCCTTGAACAATGTGGGGTTAGCGGTGCCGACCCCTACGCAGTTGAAAATCTGGGTATAAGTTTATAGTCAGTGGTTCCGCATCTGTGGATTCAACCAACCTTGGATCGTGTAGGACGATAGTACATATTTATTGAAAAATACCCGTGTGTCAGTGGACCTGCGAGGTTTAAACCCATGTTGTTCAAGAGTCAACTGTACTTTTCTAGTGTTGCACTTATGTTTTTAGCAGGTAATTTACTAATTAAAGTGAGTTATACTTGTAAATTGTTCTTATCCCTACTCTGAACAGAGGTGAACCTAGATACTAAACCTGCTTCCACCAAGAGCATTATTTCTTTCTTGTGCAACCTCTGAATTCTTGCAAGGAGTACTTTATTCATTTGTCAGATTCACAAGTAATTTTTTTAATATCTTCTGTGTGCCAGATACGGGTTTAGGCACTAGGGATAAAGCAGTGAACCAGACACACAAAAGTCTTGCCCTCGTGGAGCTTACATTCTAGTGAAGGAGTTCAGATAGAAATGAGTAAACAGATAAGTAATATAATTTTAGATAGTAGGAGGTGCAAAAATATCTTAATGTAAAGAGAGTGAGCGGGGGCAGGTAGGACTCCATTGGACAGGTTTGTTAGGGGACAGCTTCACTGGAGAAGTGGCATTTGAATGGAGACCTGAATGAAGAGAGGAGCAAGCCATGGAAGATCTGGTGTAAGCACATTCCAGGACAAGGAGCCCATGAGTATGCAGGCATGTAGGTGGGTGGAGTATTTAAGGAAAACCAGCATGGCCAGAGTACTGAGTGAAGAAGATGTGGTATGACATGAGGTCAAGGAGCTAGCCAGGGGTCTGCTCTTGTAAAGTCTTGAAGGCCAGAGTAAAGATGTGGATTATTCTATATGAGTGGAAGGTTTTGAAGTGGAAAAAGGCATGATCCAAATAGTATCTGAATAAGATGACCTGGTATAGAAAATAGACTTGGGGGGATAAAGAAGACAAATAGGGAGATCAGTTAGGAGACTATCACAGGGGTCCAAATAAGAGATGTTTATGGCCTAGGTTAGGTTGGAACTTTGCAGCAAGTGAAAAGTGGTTGAATTCAGGTTGTGTTTTGAGGGTGTAGCTAACAAGGCTTGCCGATAGATTAGATGTGGGGTATGAAGGGAATAGTAACAAGGAGACAAGTCTTTGATGATTATGTGTGCAACTGGGTGGTATCACTTAGAAGAAGGGGGCTGATGGGAGGAGCAGCTTTTGAGGGAATATCAGGACTTTGGTTTGTTATCTTAGATGCCCTTTAGGTATCTAAGTGTCTGGACAGTGCTCAGACTGTACTTTCTATCCAAAGGTATCCAAAGCCACTTTAGATGCAAAATGTTTAAAGTTGACCTTTGCTGCTGCCAAAATAGTAGCCACTGGAGGCAGTCTGCAAGATGGCATCTTAGGTTTCTGAGGAAGAAATTAGAATACACAAAGGGGGAGATAAGTGTATAATTACATAATGTAGATTTCATATTTAATTTTATGGGAAAAGCAATAATTAGTTGGCTTTTGGTTTTAAATGGCAGTAGCCACTCATTGGGAAATAATTACTCTAATTTCAATTTATTTTATTTTAAATCATTCTGTGATGAAAACAGTTATCAAAAAAGGTCTCCAGAATGGAAGGAGTGCCAAGTCAGAGGTATATCACACGTTTCAGTTCTCTCGGAAGAATTTCTCTTTAATGGCTTGTTTTTCTTTCCTTCTTAAAAGAAAATTATCAAGGTACTTTCTGCCATCTTAAAACTAAGTTTTTAGTCAAATGAAATGGCTTTTCTGGTTTTGAAAATGTTGTGTGATGCTTTAATTTAGCTTCCCAGAAATGCAGATTGAAGACCTTTTATTAACTTAAAATATCTTAATTTCCAATGAAGATCAAACCCTCCTAAATTACCTGTAACTTAAATGGCATATTTATCATTGCTTTCTCAGTACCAGTGGATAACTTCTCCATCGGTGAAGGAACCATGCAAAGCTGCTAGACAGAAAAAGAGAACTATAATTTTGGGAAGTGGTTGAAAAGGAAAAGCTACAATTAGAATTGGTAACTCTTTCTTTTTTTTAATGTTACTAGAACTTATACCCCTTATATATCCGGTGTGCTAAAATTAAAACAGCCTTAATGGTTATTCCTTAACGGTTAATTATTTCCTTAACGGTTAGCTGTTAGTATTATTTGTGGTTCTTATGGAACGCATCTAGGATGTTCCTGACACATAGTTTTTAATATGTATTAGATATTTATTTTAATATGATAAAGCTCGTGAAGTGACAAAATCCATATCCAGATATGAGGTCACCTTTTCTCCCTTTCTTGTGGGGTCCAGGCCTTAGTAAAGAGAAGGAAGCATGTGATGTGTCTAGTGACAACCCCAAAATCAAGTAGGCAGAGCCCTTGGCGCTTTACAGATATGAATACATTTTTTTGTCATCACAACCCTGTGAACAGTGTTTTACAGCAGCGCAGACAGGTTAGGGTCAGGTGCAGCGGGGAAGTGGGATCAGGCAGGAAAAGAATATCGGAGAGTCGGGGGGAGGGCCGGTTCCAGGGCCTTTAGTAAGGAAACAACAAAAATCACATGATAATGACTGTTTTTTTCCAAATGCAGGAATCAGTGGAAAAACTAGAAAGGATCACGTTCAGAATTGTGATCAGTTGTGTCTTAATATGTAAAAGTCAGTTACTTTCCCATTCTCCAGAAATAACACTAAAAAACAAGGAAAGATCCCATTTGCAATAGTCACAAAAATTAGTAAATATCTAGAAGTCAGTTCAGTGTTCACCTGAAAAATTTAGTGCAAATTGATAGATGAATCATTTTAAACATATATGTTAACATTAATAAGATATAATGTTAACATATGATCTATTAACATAAAAAGCCACTGGCAGAGGGAAAGACAGATCGGTGGAAAAGTCCAGAAACTGGTCCCTGTTTACTTGAGAATTGTATTTTAACTTAGACAATTTTAAAGTTTAACTTGACTTTTTGTCTGATTGACTGATTGAAGCATTGATAATTCATTTAAACAGAAATTAGATATTTGCATCACAGCATACACAAATTCTAGTCAGTCGAAAAGGTGCAAATGCAACTAACTGCAAGAAGCAAATATAAAATACAGGAGAGAATTTCGGTGTAAGTGTAGGGAGTACAGAAGCCTTCCTAAGTAAGCCATAAAACTCAGAAGCCCTAAAGTAAAAGATATTTAATTACATGAAAATTTAAAACTTTTCTACAGTTCAAGACGTAAACAAAACAAAATGACAGACACAAAAATTTGGTAGTATATTAACATATAAAGGTTACTGTTGATATAGAGAAGAACCCACAAATAAATGAAAAAGGATAACCAAATTTTAAAAAGGCAAGGGCTGGTTTCTACCTGTATGAGCAAACAACTCAGAAGAAACACAGCTGGCTACTAGACAAATGAAGAGAGACCAACTTCTTTAGGAAATGCAGATTAAAACCATGGGATTTTCTTCCCATCTGATGGGCAGAAATTCTAAAGACTGATAACATCTGGTGTAGACGAGGGAACAAGCACACTTTGCCTATGTTAAGTGTAATAAACGTGTTCAATTTTGGAGCAAGGTTTGCAGCGTCCATCAAAGTTCAAAACTCTCTTGCTCTTTGTCCAAAGACTTTTACTTCTAGGCACCTGCCCTCTGCCAGTACTCTGCCTTGCACAGAAGTGTGCATAAAATCAGGCACCCGCAAGTCCAATGAGGGATACTTATGTAATGGGGAAAATCTAGAGACAACCCGGATGTCTTTCAGGAGGGGTCTGATGAAGGAAATTAGGATCCATCCATGGTATGGTGTAACGTGTGTGTGGAGAACGGGGAAGGTCTGTGAGCAAATAGGGAATATGACCTGATATATCATCAGGATAAAAGGAAAAAGAGCAGGTGTAGAAAAGGACATGTCTATTATTCCAGTTAGAAACCCACAGTGTTTGTATTTGTAAATACTATATATGTATATATGTACATATGGAAAGATGCATATATACACGTATACACATTTGTGTATCTGATCCTGAAAATGCACAAAAGGCTGTTAATGGCAACCACCTCTATGGAAGGGAATAGATCTTTATATTTTTACTCTAGTTTTCCTAATCGTGTGCAAATTTAGAGTTAATTTTTTACTTAAAAGTTAGGCAGTCAGGAGGGGCCTAGTGACTCTTTTGTGGGCTTCTCTCACCACAGGATGCACTCTTCGCGCCCTTGTTGTTTCTGGTTTGTCTTTTGGAGCAGACACCACTGAAATGAGCGTCTTGTCATCGCTTGCCAACTGCCTGCGGTTTTCTTGCGCCCTCCTAACCCTCACCACCTTTGTGAGATGCTGTTTCGCGCTGAGGTGGTGCCTTTCCCCTCACACACACCCCTCTGGTACCTTGGGGAGTCCCGGGGTTTCTCAGTGGGCATTCTAGAATACTCATCCCAGAGATGCAGTGGGTTTTTCAGCCACATGCATTTGGGGAAAACTCTTTTCCTGTATGAATTATCATCTTGGGAGTTCACGATTCACCGGAGCTCTTGAGACGCTCTAGGAAGTTGAGTCAAGAAACCCGTGTAGCCCTGTTAGTTCAGGATTTCCTAAATTTCTAGGACTGACTGTGGCACTGCTTTTCTAGTCACAACCATCCTTATCAGCTTCCCTGATAGACTCCCTGGGGAGCGCTGCTCAGACTCTGTCCTGGAAGCTTTGCAGTCTCAGGATTACCCGCTGCTTCCACACCCTCCCAGCCCCCTGCCAGCGCTCTGTCAGCCTGGCACCTTCTCCCTGCCCCCCAACTCATTCAGGCCACAGGTGCTGCCCTTGCTCTGGGATTTAGTGATAACGCCTGGGAGCAGTGGCCCAGCACAGCCCACGGCAGTGCTCGGTGTGGCTCACAGGGTTTAAAACACACAATTTGAGCCCTTACTGGAACATGGGAAGATGATTTAAATCCAGATGTCTTATTTCATAATCCCCGTGTCTCTGAAAGTGGGAGAAACAGACTGGGAGGGCCGTGTGTTTCAAGCAAAAGGGAGACTGTTTCTCTGTTGAAGTAAAGAACGGGCCCTCACAGTTAACAGGTAACATAGGGAGTTTGTGCTGAGTCTGTCATGTTGGACCTGTTATACTCATTTATATGACCGTTGGGTCCCTATTGGCATTTGCATTTAGTGCCCAAGCTTGAAACTCCCGAGTGTCCCTGTCTTGGTCACGAGCCCTAATTCTGTTGACCTAGAAAGTTCTTTGTGGGAGCTTTCTAGCAGGCCTCTCCCCCAGTGTCCCCACCCTCCAGCCTCTATGTCCTAGTGCTTTTTCTAAAACGCACAACTCCTTATCGTGCAGACCTGATTGCTCCTTGCTCCTCCAGGATCTGATCGATCCAGTTCCCAGGAGAGCGTGTCCGCAGGGCCCTCTGCGGTCTGCAGTCCTGCCCCCAGCCAGGCACCCAGCACCCCAGGTGCTGCAGAGAAGTTGCTGGTGTCCCCCGTGCCTTGTCAGAGACAGCTCTCTGCCAGCTGCCATTCCTTTGTCTCCCCCTGTCCTGACCCCTCCCACCTCCCTTCCTCTGAAACCATCAATCTTCCCTCAGGCAGAGGTACTTGCTCAGCTCTGTGCTTCCACAGCGCTTGTCCTGTGGAATTTGAATTCCCTCCACAGCCGTCTTGCTAGGTTGGGAGCAGCCGATTCCCCTTCATCTTTTTCTTCCTTCCCTCAGCCCCACAGCAGGGACACTCTCGGGCACCGTGCAAATTTAATCCTCAATTTCTAGTTGTTATGACACTGTTGCTGTGATGATACGATCTACGTTCACAGTAGGATGGGTAAATGTGCGGGGGATGACTGTAAATACAGATTCTTTGTAAATCCAGGTTCCTAATTCTTCCCCCTTTTAATATTTTTTCCCCTTAACTCATGTGTCCTTTTTGCTGCTCCAGCTCTATGATTGGACTGTCACCTGGGGAGTCTGAGGCAGCACAATATCAAAGAGGGTAGACAGTAAATTTTTATTTATTTATATTTTATTTATTTATTTATTTATTTATTTTGCGTTACGCAGGCCTCTCACTGTTGTGGCCTCTCCCATTAAGGAGCACAGGCTTCGGGCGCGCAGGCTCAGCGGCCATGGCTCACGGGCCCAGCCGCTCTGCGGCATGTGGGATCCTCCCGGACCGGGGCGCGAACCCGTGTCCCCTGCACTGGCAGACAGACTCTCAACTACTGCGCCACCAGGGAAGCCCGACACTAAATTTTTGATGTAAATGTCAACCAGAATATCTACTAGCTGTGCAAAGGAGGCCCAGAATTCAGTCTCAAAGCCTATTACCAGATACTTGGTTTCCCTGCTTGCGTCTCTTCTGTTTGTCGACGTGCACTTGATTCCTATTAACCTTAACAGGAATTATGTGTGTGCCTTGAGGGGCGAGCCTGGCTTTATTGGGGGCTTCCTCACACTGCTTTTCTTTGCTCTTTACTTTTTTTTTTGCAGTACGCGGGTCTGTCAGTGTCATGGCCTCTCCCATTGCGGAGCACAGGCCACGGACGCGCAGGCTCAGCAGCCATGGCTCACGGGCCCAGCCGCTCCGTGGCATGTGGAATCTTCCCGGACCAGGGCACGAACCTGTGTCCCCTGCATTGGCAGGTGGACTCTCAACCACTGCGCCACTAGGGAAGCCCTTTGCTGTTTACTTTCAATGAATCCCACCCTTTAGAAGTGGAAGAATAAGACAGGATGTGTTTGAGAAAATGGAGAGAGTTATTACATATTTTCCTTGTTATCCAGAATAGCATGTCAGCTCTTCTTCTGTTTGTCTCCTTTGGTTGTCAGTGGAAGATAATTTTGGCTTGCTCACTTTCCAAATCAGAAACTGAAGTCAAATACTAACGTATCCTAGATGAAACTTGACTCATTCATTTTTTTTTTTTTTTGTGGTACGCAGAAGAGCAAAACAATAAATCCTGAGAACATAGAAAAAATAGATAATAAAGATATGAGCAGAACTTAATAAAACAGAAAAAAGTATAAAATTGAGGTGATTTAGTAAGTCAAAAGAATATTCTGTGAAAATATTTAAAAAGCACACTTTGATTAAGTAAAACAAAAACATAAGTATATTTATACTTTAAATATTAAATATACAGAAAGAATCAGGACAATGTTATAGCAGAGAATATATGAAATGCCAGTAAATTTGAACATTTATGTAAAGTGGACAATTTCCTAGCTCCTAAAGTTTACCAAAACTGACACAAGAGGAAATTTATAGCTGGAGTTCTTTCACCAGTAAAGGAATTAAGTCAATAGTTT